CTAGACTAACCTTGGATCGAAGGAAGTGTTGGCGAAAATCTATTGGTATTAGTGATGGGGAATAAACCAAATGTCTTGACTTTATTCATTAACAGAAGTCGGAAACGTTCAGAAGGCAGTTGTAAGACTTTTTTGGAATCATGTTCACAAGCTTCACAGGACAAAGAGGTAGAAGCGTGATTCAAGTACTGATTTTGGACGCCATCATGAAACAGATGGCCAAAAGATGGATTGACGTCACGATTTTGTAGCAAGTTATAGTTTGTGTTAATATAACTCACAAAGGAAACGCCACTGATACATATGCTGAAGTGGAGATGGAAAGCAGCACCTTAAAGTGGACATGGTGGCATTTTCGTTTCTATCCACAAATTAACTAAATCTTTTGAAATTTTCTAAAAAGCATGCCTATGAGGAACAGCGGTGGGCTGAACCACAGGTATCTTGTGATTAAAACCTGAAGCACATCTCAAGACATGTCCCTCTAATCAGAACCGTTGCCGTTTCAAGATAATCTGAGCATTTAGAATGTTTGTGTGGATTTTGTTACAGTGGTGTTTTACTAACAAGTTCATCTGTGTCATTGAACACTGATAATACGGTACATGCATCGGCAATCTGCCGACTCTGCCAAACAGAACTGCCACTACCTGTCAACCCCAATAATCTGGAAACTTTTAATCTTGCGACCCGTCAGATCGAGCCAATCTGTGCACCGGTAATCAGGCAATCCCATCACAGAGGAGACAGGTAGTGAGACAACTATGTCTTTCCGGACACCATATTTAGAAAAGATAAGCAATCCGACAACTTGTGGTGAAGGCATAATATGGCTTACCATTTCTCACCGTGTTATTGCGTAGTGTTATTTGGTCACATAATAACTCAAACAAACACACTCACTCACACTCAAAGACATGGGCGCCTCTATAAACCTGCAATAATCTTGAATACGATTAGACAATCTCACACACTGTGTATGTCGCAATATTACCTTGAAAGCGACCTTGTAAGCAGTCTCTCTCTCTCTCTCTCTCTCTCTCTCTCTCTCTCTCTCTCTCTCTCTCTCTCTCTCTCTCTCTCTCTCTCTCTCTCTCTCTCTCTCTCTCTCCTTCTATCTATCTATCTCCTTTTATCTATCTATCTATCACACACACACACGCGCACACGAATGACAGGGTTATCACTTTATAATTGTTATTATTGTACGCGAGTATGCATGAACTCACATGATTATATACAGACACACCGCCTCACACATTGACATCTGACAAGGTTGTCGCTGTGTAAGTACAATAATCTTGTTCGCAGTGTCGCCTCACACGAAGTATGCATCCTCCCCCACGGGGGAGATGTCGCCGTTAGCGTCGGTCACGTTAACGTCTTTACCATATTACCCTAGAAGCGTGATGCGAGTTCTCTTTAGGATACATTACGGAAAGATTAATACATAAATGGTCTAGCGCAAACCAGATTTACGTCTCGTGTCTTATCTTCACATAAGTCGATGACAGAGGCCTGTTGTTTGTCAAGCTTCGGCCGTAACAGTGCACGAGACATATGACCTTTAATAAACGTTTGACAAGGACAGGGTGTTGAGGATTTGTAATTAAATATATTCGATAGATTTGTCGACATAGTGGCTGCGTGGGCGAGATTGCTGATGTTTAGTGCTGGCGACTAGGTGCCTGACAGTGTGGGTTCGAATCCCAGATGGGACAAACAAGTACTGGAATCTGTATTTTACTTAGAACGTGTAAACCCAAATACGACATATGTTGCATTTTACCACATTCTAAATGGCATAGCGTGGTTATATTGATCATATACGCTCCCAAAAAAAAACGCATATAGGAATTTCAACTGTATTTTTATGTTTATTTTGAAACATCTTGTAGGCTTTATGAGTAAATGAAATATAGCGAAATTGCACACTGGGAATGCAGACTTATCCGTCTTTCGCACCAACTCGAGGAAAGTCAGTGTGAGTGTCACATGGAAACGTGTGGTGGCGCTGAAGTCAATATCTCGTGTGACCACCGTGGGCATCCAGAACTGCACGGCATCGCCTCGGCATCGAACGAATAAGTCTCAAAATCTCGTGTTGCCCAATCGCAGCCCACTCTGCCTGTAGTGCCTGTGCGAGTTGCTGAAGTGTCTGGGGCTGAGGGTTACGGCGTCGCACCCGTCTGTCCAGGGCATCCCACAGATGTTCGATCGGGTTTAAGTCCGGTGGACTTGAGGGCCAGGGGAACACATTGATGTTGTGGTTCTGGAGGAAGTCTCTGGTGTGACGTGCTGTGTGGGGCCTGGCATTGTCCTGTTGAAACAACTCCCTCTGGCGATCAATGATTGGAAGGAGGTGTGGGCGTAGGATTTCGTCACAGTACCGTTGAGCTGTCAGGTTGCCCTGGATCATCACCAAATCACTTCTCCTAGGGCAGGTGATCCCTCCCCACATCTTAACACTCCCCCGGCCGAATCTGTCCACCTGGGGAACGCAAGCGTCGGCGAAACGTTCACGTCGACGTCTGTACACCCGCATTCTTCAAACGCGTCGTTCCAATAGAAATCGTGATTCATCACTGAACCAGATTCTGCGCCAGTTCGGTAGGTTCCAGGCCTGAGCGTTGGTGCACCATTGAACTCGATGTCGACGATTTTGTTGTCGAAGCAGAGGGCCAAAATAATGTCTTCTGGCACGTAAACCAGCATCTCTCAACCTGTTCCTGACGGTCTGTGCAGAAAGCCTCCTCAATCCGGGTATTTGTCGAGCGGTACTGGTCGCCGTAGCTGTTCGATGACGCAGGTGATGTACCCGGATGTAGAGATCCTGCGCCGCAGCGGTCGCTCGAGGTTGCCCACTACGAGGGGCATCTGCTACCGCATTCTGCCGACGATATCTCTCCCAGAGCCGTGAAATGGTGCTTTGGTGAACATTCATGCGTCGGGCAACTGCACGTTGAGACTGGCCAGCTTCAAGCAAACCAATGGCGATATGACGGTTGGCTTCACTTAGACGTGGCATTTTGCGTTCGTCAACAACATTCCAAATACAGTGAATAATCGACAGACAACGATCAACCTTTCATACCCATCATTGAGACTATCTGATCCCCAAGTTTCACGTGCATTGCATGTGAATTGTGTATTCTGTGACACTAAACGCCGAAATTGAAATTCATGCTGTTAAATACGGGTATTTTACGGATGGTGCGTTTTGTTGTGATGTTTCAAAACATAAACACCATAGGACTCATAAACAGAGCAAAACCTTTTGTAAAATGAATCACGTTTTAATTCATTGCTACATGAAATTGCTATTTTAATGATGCGTTTCTTTTTTGGGAGAGTATATTATATCAACCCCTACATAGAGTTTTTGACGAATGACGTACCCGCATGGGCAGTATTTTTATTAATCGTTCTAACGTCTACCCGCATAATAAAACATTGCCTAACGCTCGTAATACATTTCGGTCTGTGTTTTCAGATGCATTGTTGTGTTTGTACAAGAACATGGCTACAATCAGTCATCAAATGGGCGGTTCAACCTGGCTTTTTATTGTATTTGAAGTTTCGCTTCATCAGTTGTTTCAAGAATGTCTGATACGCGATTTAGGGAGTATGGTTATTCTATCAACATTCCAGCAATCACGGAATCTCTCCAGAACATAAGAGATACAGCTCACACGCCATGTGGGCAATTGAACCTGGATTTGGGCAACATGAGTCTGCAACCACAAGACCACCCCGCCGCCCCTGACAAAGCAATTCTCAAGCTCGTGTGTAACCATTGTAAATATCATATACAGAGAATAATATAATACAATGTTTGCGATTTATTAAATTGACAATACGAAAGCACGCTCCTAAACATATATAAAATATTTGAAAGTATCTGCTGACCGTTATTTTTCACGAAAACAAAACCAGTAGCATTTTCAATTACCATTGCATTATTCTGAGAAATCACACCAAGAAATGGATGGCAAATCGAATCGGATACAGTGTCTCTAACGATGTTCACATACACCATCGACCACGTTGGAAACATCTCGTTACGGAAACAAAGCTGAGTCATACTATTGTCCATCACGGTAGTTACCTTCGGGAAATGGTGTTCAGCAAGCCGACAAATTCGCTCACTTGTAATGTCATCTGTTCAACTATTAAGGACATGTTTTTCTCATTTTTCACACATGATGACAGCCAAAGTCATGCGCGCCGTGACAAATTCAACGGCATTCGTATTAGGCTCCGTGTTGTTGCAGTCAACAGCATGCTTATCCACAGCACATGTGTCATAATAGTCAACAGCACGTGTGGCATGTCAGTCAACATCAACTGTGATAAGACAGTCAACAATAACCGAGTCATGCAAATTCACATCATGATAGTCGATAAGACAGTAGACAGCACAGTCAACAGCAACTGTGACATTGCAGTCAACAGTAAACAGGTAGGCATTTCCACAGCACACGTGTCATGATACTCCACAGCAGGTGTGTCATGCTAGTCAACAACACGTGTGTCATGCAAATCCACTGCACACGTGTCATAACAGTCAACAACATGTACGGCATGACAGTCAACAAGAAAAAAGTCATGCATTCCACAACGCACGTGTCATAACAGTCAGCATCAAATGTATCATGGCAGTCAAAAGCACGTGCGTCATACAAAGCAACAGTACACGTGTGATCACTGTAATCAAAATGGTTGTCCTTATCATAACGCCAACAGTACTAGCGTCAAAATTCAAATAAGTTATTGTTTTGCAGAGATATGATGTGTGCACGTTTACATTTTACCTTTTTAATAATAACTCATAAATTTTGAAGCATGGCCTAACAAAAGTTTCTCTTCGCGGTCCATATGTTAAAGTCGCCTCAGATTGAAGCACCCGATCTCTAAATAATCCATGTAAAAAACCATGCAGATACTATTATACTCAAAACATATGCTGCAACTGAGATAGAGAACAAATGAATTCTTACCTGATAGGTCAGCCATAGCAAGATTAAGTAACAGCAAATTCGTCATAGTTTTCATGGAAGTATTTGATAGGACAATTGTAAGGATGAGTAAGTTTCCCACAAGCGCCATCACAAACACCGGCACATACACCGCAGTGAGGAGTATATTCGGTGTCTCATCGTGCGCCTCCAGCTCGTCCTTAAAATCATCCATAATTGAAATCCAACTTCGGTTATGAGTAGTATTAAATAAATTCAAGGTTGAAGTGTTCGCATCACTAATGTGTAAAAACCAATTGAGAATTTCCGTCAACATCAGATCTTCATATGAGCGCGGCATGATTCTGACGGACTTGAATCTCTTGATGAAGTCAGCTACTGATGCCATGATGAGATGTCTTGATGTGTCACTTAGACCCGATCTGATAGTCCGATGACGCTATAAACGACCAAAACACCAGTCCGATCCTCTTTACTACCAGGAATCATGCTACGCACCTCAAAGCAGGTAACTGGGTTTTATGTTAGTACTCGATCAATACAAGGGCCCAGTTAACCATTCGCTGATGTCGACTGGAGACAGTTCTTGACAATGGATGTGCTAATATATGTGATTCCTTAGGTCCACTGTAGTTACTTTCATGCACACTCGATGTGTGACAGGAAGCTATTTTGAAGAGTGAAATATGGTTTCAAGTCACGGTAATGACGTCATGACTTCTGAAATAACGATTGACAATTATTTAATTTCCGCCACCACGTGGAAGACATAGCCAGTCATTGGCGTTTTCTGTTCCGCTAACCTTCTCATTAACACTGTACAACCAGTTTAAACATATATCTGTTGAAGTGTTATAAAGGGAAATCATCGTGAAGGAAGATAATCCGATTCATGTTCATTACAAACAACGCCTTGTGACCTTGGTCTCCATTTTCTTTACCTGTTTGTACAGTCTATTGATTTGACCTTGTTTATGCAGAAATAATCACGCAAATGTGTTTTTGGATAGCATTGTAATTATCGGGCCTTGGCGAGCTAAATGCACAGTGTTAATTCCTTAGACAGCGTCCTAATCCACAAGCGCCCCGATCAACAGTTACGGCTTGTCGTAACCATTTAGTTTGCCATAAGCTTACGAATGCCCTAGCGCTACGAAAGCTTTGTGGAGCGGGGCCCAAGATATTTACCATCAAATACACAACCTCCTTATCATAAAGTATCATTCTCGATTTCTGTCATCTAAAGAGCTGTTCTCATCAAAAACATTAACTAACCATCACACATTGTCCTCGGATGCGCCCATTAATTTATACATGGTCAGACGGACAATCACAACAGGCAAGATAGTTGGAAACACACATTACTCCTATACTGTACACTCTCCACTTGCTTCCAGTCGAGTTCAGGATCCAGTTCAAACTCTAATGCCTTGTTTTCCGCTGTCTCACTGGAACTGCACCTTCTTATATATCCAATCTTCTAACCGTGTACACGCCTTCCCGATCTCTCCGCTCACAGGAAAAGACCTTGCTTGTTGTTCCCAAAGTAAAGACAGTGATGTATGGAAAGAGGTCCTTTGTCCATGCAGGATCTATAGCCTGGAACAGTCTCCGCGGAGCCTCAGAGACTGTTGTTCAAGATAGCCTTTTAACTGTAGCTCTTTACCATTAATCTCATCTTTATCTTGTGCGCTTTGAGCATGCTTTAGCATGGATATATGCGCGTAACAAATATGCTATTATTATTATGTTTTACAGATTAAAGATTGTATGCAGCAGAGAGGGTTCGGGTGATCCTGGCACGGTCAGGCTGGTAAGGCTCATCATCAGCTCAGGGCCCTTGCCCCCTCTACACGCAGCCCAGACAGCGAATGGGACTTCTCCCAGGAAACGCTGCCTAGTCGAACCCACCAAGAACCTTCCGGAGAATATGAAGGCTCCCCAACACTGCAGCCTTCTGCATTACCCAGAGTGTCAGAAGGGCTGTACTCCCGGTGGAGAACCCGGGCACTCTCCTGATCTGCGCCAAGAGATCAGGAGGTACCAAACCAAGGGCACCGAGAACAATGGGGAGCCTGACGACAGTGTACTTGGGATGCAAGTGAGACATTTCAAAGGCGAGGTCCGCATATTTATCATGCTTTTCCTTAATCTTGCCAATCACATTGGTGTCAAAAGGGACAGAAAATTCTATGATATAAATAAATTCATTGGCTTTATCAAAAAGGACAAGATCAGGTTTGTTAGCTGGAATTCTTCTGAGGCTGTATATGGGCCTATTCCACAGAAGTTTGAAAGCATCATTTTCCATGACGCCCTGGACATGTTCAGGGTCGTACCATGGATGGACCTCGGAGTCAAAGCCACAGGCATGTCGGAGACGGTAGTAAAAGCAACGAGCCATGCCATCATGTCGTTTAAGATATGCTGTTTGTGCCAAGGAAGGGCATCCACTGACAAGGTGTTGGACAGTCTCTGTAAATTCATTGCAAAGTCGACATTTCATGTTAATATTCTCTTTAAGAATCACATTTAGGCGATTACGAGTGGGAAGTGACTGGTCCTGAGCAGCAAAAAAGGAAGCCCTCAGTTTCACATTTAAGACCAGCCGACTTCATCCAGGCGAAGGAGTCGGTGGGATTGCTATTCTGTTCAACACACTGCATGTACACACGATGCAATGGCTTCTCAGAAAGCTTCTCCACAAACGACCGACTCTGGGCAGACTTGGTAAAGGACTTCACCTGGTTTACTCCCATTGCTGTACCGTCCAGCAGTACATTGCCATCAGCAAAGTCAACCTCAAATCTCAGATTCTGTCCAACAACCTTGGCACGCTTAAAATAACTGTGGAATTCCTTGCTTTCATCATGAGTCTTCACATGCATCACCAGAGGATCATCCGATAAATAAATATGTACAAAAGTACACAATAACATTCTGTCATGAAGAGCCTCCACATTAATCAAACCCCGACCTCCAGAATTGATTGGCATGTATAAACGGTTAAGAGAGGAACGAGGGTGGTGGGCTCTGTTATCAGACATGATCCTTCTGGTCAGACGGTCAAGACTCTGGATGTCTTGTTTTGTCCAATCAACTACTCCAAAGGAATAGGAGAGGACTGGCACAGCAAAAGTATTGGTGGCTTTGACCTTGTTACGAGCATTTAGCTCTGAGCTCCAGATTTTCTTTAAACGAGATGTATACTCGGCCCGAAGTTTTTCTTGAATCTGGGCATTCTGGAGCTTGTCTCGAACTTGCATTCCAAGATAGGTGTAGGCCTGATCTTCCACAAGATGCTCAATAACTCCTCCCCCTTGTAACCTGACCGATCCATCATTAATTACCTTGCCTCGTTTCAAATGAAGAGTATTACATTTGTCGAGTCCAAATGTCATGCCAATATCATTAGAAAAGGACTCGACAAGGAGAACCTGCTCTTTCAATTGGAATCTCCTTTGGCAAGGAGTTCGATGTCATCCATGTAAAGGAGATGAGTAAGAGGTGTTGGGGATCTGTGCTGAGGAGGTCCGGGATGGTAACCCTCCTCTTTATTGAGCAGAAAGCTCAAAGGATTTAGAGACAGACAAAAAAGCAAAGGACTAAAGGAATCCCCTGAAATATTCCCCTTCTGATTGGAATAGATTCCGAAGTCTGCACCTGCCCTTTGTGAGTACATCTCAAGTTGAGTCGACCAGCAACTCATCAAAGACTTGAGTAAATCAAGTAGTCGCTCAGGGAGGTCAATACAATGAAGAGACTTCAGAATCCATTCGTGAGGGACAGAGTCGTATGCTTTTTTGTAGTCAATCCAGCACATGGAGAGGTTGCGGTGATAAGTTTTAGCCTCTTCCAAAATCATTTTCTGTACAAGAAGTTGATCCTTGCACCCCAACATCCCTTTCTTGCTCCCCCTTCTGCTCTCTGTAAATGATATCATTGGAAGAGCAGTAAGATGACACGAGGTTTGTCAAACACCCTGTGAATATTTTGTATTGTGTATTCAAACATGTGATAGGGCGGAAGTTTTGGGATCAGTCAAGTCTCCTTTCTTGGGGAGAAGTATTGTGCGACCTTTGCAGAACCATGGAGGAACATCACCTGTGTCCACGAGAGTATTAAAACAGTGTAGTAACGGTGTTTGGACACAGGGGAACAGTTTCCAATACCGGTTTCGAATGCCATCAGGCCCTGGAGCTGTATTAGATTTGGACTTTTTTATAACACTTTTCAGGCAATCTGGTGAGATGTAACAGACAAACGACCTAGTTACCTTCTCATGCATTGCATGGTCATAATCACGGACCCATGGTGCCTCAAGGTTACAGTTGCCGGGTACAGACCACAACTGTTTCCAGAACCTTTCATTGGCATCCATGGGAGGCCGTTTGTCATGTTCACCATCACCTTTTGTTTTCAGTTGCCTGTAGAGGTGTTTTTCATTGGTTCTAAAAAGTTTATTTTGTTTGATGAATTTATTTTTCTTTTCCCATTTTTTCTTTCTTTCAGTCCAAACCTTTATTTTGGCCTTAAGGGAATCGACAATTTGGAGAAGTACCTTTTCCTTTGTTGTCTTGTATTGTAATTATTATTATTATTATTATTATTATTATTATTATTATTATTATTATTATTATATAGTTCCAACCTTTTGCTTAGACGTTTTGCTTTGTTTGTTTTCCAACGCCGCTCTCTCAGCAATATTCCAGCTATAACATGGCGGTCTGTAAATAATCGAGCCTGGACAAGGCAATCCAGTGATCAACAGCATGAGCATCGATCTACGCAAATGGGACACGATGACATGTGTCAATGAAGGTAGCAAGCCTGACCACCCGATCGCTTTAGTCGCCTCCAACGGCAAGCATGGGTTGCTGAAGACCCGGACCTTCACAGGTTCTTTCTTAGACGTAACTTCAGATAGGGAAAATAGCAGTTCCTACAAACACTGTTTCAAGTTGCCCTGTACGGCAATGTAAAGGTGTGACAGACAGATTAACTGTCCTTTAGCAAAGTGGCGCTACAATTTACTCAAACACTAGTCTCTGGCCAATGAGATGTCCTGTTTCCTTGGGGTTCGCATGACCTTTCCTCAGCTGGTCAAATTGTGGAGTCAGATGTACAGACACAGACAAAATGAAACGAAGTAACGAATCGGACACATTTTGGCCAAATTCATTACTATAATTTGGGAAAAGAACCAAGTTGCAG